GGTCGATCACTATAGGGATCGCCCATTTGATAATCTCTTAGGGCCTCCCAGTCTTTACGCAGTTATTCTAGAATACACGTCTCGAGCTTGTCATTGGAGAAATACATTGAAGCATACTTTATCTTCCTGAAAGTGTTTGTCCTATTGCTATAGTTTGATGCTTTTTCCCGCATAAAACTCCCGAAGCAAAGAAAAATACGAAATTATGACTAGCAGACGTACGATCAATCGCACGGTAGAGCTCATGCTCACCATGTTTGGCGTCTGGCCGGGTATATCATGCGTTCTAGTCATCAGAGTGTTTTGGATAATTACGCTAGCAATTAGTCAATTCTTCCACTATCGGTATTTTGTAACGCATTTTCGCGCGGACAATCTTTTCAACTTGATGGACTGTCTGAGTAGCTTCCTGGCGCATGTCAAACTGACCGCGAAGCTCATCGTTTTTTCGTTACAACAGCAGTGAGTGACAGTTTAACATACAAATGATATTAATTTTCCTTTTTTATTTTGTACAAAGAAAGAACAATCCTTGAAATCTGGAAAAAGAAAAATTTTATAAGTCATCAATAATTACATAAGAAAAATATGTCACTGTAAAATTCTTTCGAAATATTTCGAAGACACAAAATATTCAATCGTTCATAGAAAATTCATCGAAATCTTGTCCATGATGTCGGAGGACTGGGTTAAATGTGGCAATAGGGGTGTTGCGTTGAGCGAAACAATACGCAAAACAAAAGCTTCGAATCGTATTTGTAACGGGCTAATTATTCTTCATACAATCGGCGCTATTGCATACGTTGCTGGCATCCTCCTGGCCGACGTCGACGTCACCGATCGAACTACCGAGCTGCCCCTCATGATGAAAATGGAATATCCTTTCGTCATAGACACGCGAAGCAAGTACGATCTGGTGTTAGCTACACAATTTGTGTATGTGATGGTGTGCAGCTGGGGAGCTGGTTTATTCAACGCTCTGTTTCTAACTCTGGTAACCTGCAGATAAGCAAGTATCATAAGCAAAATATCATTACAAAGATAACAAATAATTAATATCCTATAAGTATTCTAACAAATATTATACAAATATTATATACCAACAAATATTCTAACAAATATTATACACCAACATGGGCATACACCAAGCATCAAGTTTAAAAAATTAAATATCAAAGCATTTAATGTGCTCTCAATACTTCATTAAATTATTTTCTGATAACGATATCTTTATCTCTTTTTTCTTAATTAAGAAACATATACATAAATCCTAAATAAATTTTAATCATTGTCATAGCTGATAGAATCTTTATTTTTAGACTCTACATTTAGGTAGTCAAGTAAATATTCTACTTTGCTGGTTGGCGGAAATGGAGCCTAATAAAATTAAAGAAGAAAATAAATCATTCGTCGTCTCTATAACAAACATTATTCAAAAACATCAAAGAGTTATCAATCTTTCAGAAAATATTGAAAGTCTCTATTCATATATCGTTTTACTTGCAATTTACATCGAATACACT